GAGAGATGCGCCTGGCTGAATGGACTAACTGGCACAAATAAAAAATTGCCCTTGGCAAATCGATTGAAATGAAAATGTTGATTACTGCTTTGATGATTCTTTGGGTTTTACTCAGAATTCAACCCAGTGAAAGGACCAATGTTATTACTCAGACTCAAACATATATTTATGCTATGCTAAGTACTTCCATAATAAAGGAACAATATCTTTGATTCATAAAAAAAATAGCCATCCTTATTCAAATCCATGTTTATTTTCTATTATTTCTTTATTATTGTACTACACTGGCTGAACCATGGACTCCAGTTTTCAGCCATATCATATCAGGTTCAAGACAGTGACCATCCTTTTCATACTGGTACTTCAATAACTCATGAAGTCAGAGGAGAAAAACTGGAATAAAATTCTAACACTGTTTGAAGGCAGCAGCTCTGTCCTACCAGAGTTGATGTTATGCCATATTTCCTGCATGCAGATGGCATGAAATGTAGAGTGTTCCTGACAACAGTATGACATCAGATTGCCCCTGTCTTCTTCTGGGATGTATTTGAAGAGTTCTTTGGGGGGGGGTCTTTCCAACAAGCTTGGGATTCCCTAGTAGTCTCCTATTCAGGTATTGACTGTTGCCCCCTGCTTAAGCTTTCCTAGATAAGCCATACACTTATCCAGAGGATAAATGTATCATCGGCTGGACACACAGGAATTTAAAATCCCTATTCGAAGTCAAAATATATTGACACTTTGAAACAAATATTCAACAATTCAGTAATACAACTATAAGCATTTCAAAGCTGCTACACTCTTTGTAGAAGGATTATGTGCAGGGTGAGTAAAAAATACAAGAGTTAGGAATAACTTGAACTTTCTGTTTTTCATTACATGTCATTTTGTCCTTAAGAGAAAAATATGTATTTCTGAATTCTTTAATTTTCTAATACGAAAATACAACACAGGCTATATTAGATTTGCTATACAGTGTTTCTGAATGGTGTGGAAAGACTCAAATTGTAAAACTTTTGCACCAGTGCAATTTAACTCTGTTCCTCTTCTCCTTTTACTACATGATATTGAATCCACATAACAGGCCTCTAGTTATGGTCCTACAGCTGCATTGTAACGATCACATTATTTATTGCTACATTTCTTTCCTGGCTAGACTTTGACCAAAAGAGATCACCTAAAGGAATTACTTGATCCTCTCAGAAACAGGTGGTAGAAATTACAGTCAATCAAGTTAGGCCACTAAATGAAATTTCCTCATGGGCAATTTGGCCATTGGAGCTATATAACTTTGGAAGCTGAAAACAAGCAGGCCTCTTTTTATATAGTTAGAGTCGCAGTAGAAGAATTGTCTGGTATGGTTCTTATGAATAGGCACACTGATGGATGATAACCTTCTCAAATCTCCTGGTGCTCCGTATATCAATACATTACAGCATTTGCAAACCTTACCATCTCACTTTATATATTCTTCAGAATCGTTTGGTGTAGTAAAGGTAGTGTAGTTTTCTCCCACTTGAGCCTCTTTATATGCATGTGTTCAACTGGACACTTCTTGAACTATGCAGAAAATCTATTTTTGTATTACCATGAATTTCTGTGGACTCTTGATTCTGAATTACTGTGGAACACTAATATTAATGATCCGTCTTCAGCAAAATAGATAAAATGTGAGAGTTTTGTCTACTTAGAAGTACGCCCTACTGAGTTTAAAAGGGCTTAGTTCCTTTAATCCTTTCTAAGCAGAGGAACTCTAAAACAGCAAATTTAAGTCTCACTGTATTCATAGTGTCTAACTAATCAGCTTGTTAACCACTGCTTACTTAAAATGGATTGAGTTTCAGATCACTATCTCTGTAAGAATAGGGAATTGTTACTCACTGCTTTCAGCTACATTAATAAATATTTGCAAATGTGGTTCAAAAGGTGGAACCCAAATATATGTACATAGGATTCTGCTCAGCAGAGGTCACAAAGGTAAATGACTTGCTTTGAAGAAAATAGAACAGAGTTAGTTTTATTACAGCTGTTAAAAATCTGAAATGGATGATGAAGCAGAATAAACAGGCTGCATCTCCTTCCTCCTACTTAACTACCTTTCTATCTATTGTTCTTCTCTGGAGAAAACATTTATTTTGTTTCAGTTTGAGCAGTTCTTCCATTTGTAGCAGAAAACACACGTAACTCCTCTCCACCAAAAGCAAAAGACCTTGACAAGAACAAGGTGTTTTTCTCCAGTATCTCTATTCTTTTATCTGCTGTGTTCCCAAGTTTTCTTCTAAATTGTCTATAGTAGGGGTGTCAAACTTGTGGCCCGCGGGCTGGATGCGTCATGTGCTGGCCAGGCCCAAACCCATTTTAGCGAAGGGAAAAAATCACGATACGTCACGTGACAAAAACGTGATGCCATGAGTTTGACACCCCTGGTCTATAGCATAATATGAGTACATAGCATTGCATGCATGTACCGTATGAGCCTGAGTACCTTATATGATGCAGGGATAACAAACAGATTTAGTTAGTTGATTTCAAATAGTTTTTTTTCAAATTTATATGGTAAATTGGCAGTGCTTGGTAAAAAAAATCATGCTCAAATTAAGTGAGCATATTTCTGAAACTCACCTAAATTATTTTGAATTAAAAATAATCTGTGGGTTTACAGTGTTCTCTTTTTCAGTGGTATAAAAATAACTTTTAACAACCAATGGATATAATTTAAAGTCTGGTTCAGAGTCCCGTGGCCAAATTATCTTAATCTCTCTTCAGACTGTGACTGCAATAGCCTTCGGCTGGAGATAAAAGGCATCTATAATTTTTTTCTCCCTTTCACTATGTTAAGCTGAGAAGCAAATACAGCTCCCATGCCACTTGCCCTAAAACAAGGAGACTAACTGCTCTCCTTCCTTTCCTTTACTCTGTTGCCTACAGTATTGGCAATTCGAATTTTCTCAATTCATGCTGTACCTGAAACTTTTTGTGTCATAATGTCCTTGTCAAAACAGCAGTGTACTTTTGAAACAAACTTTTTTTTTCTTTGATATGCTGCTGGTATGATCTACAAACTGGAAGGCTAAAGTTATAATTGTAACTTCACTGGTTTTCAAAAACTATTCTGGTGTAGCATTATACCTGCCCTTGAATTTTATTTTGTCATGCTCCGACCAAACTCAAACTCATTTGTGTTCTTTATCTGAGAAAGCCTGATTTCTCTGCGAAGCATGATAGGCTTCCAAAAGTAGAAAAAAATCAGTTTCAAATATGGGGAATTCTTACTCCATGCATGGTAATCTTCAGATTCCAGTTGTATTAGGGGCACTAACTCATCCATCATCATGAGTGGATCAAACCTTCTTAAGCTGATCATTGTTGGATTTTTATTTGATCTCTGCTTGAGTTTTGAATTGGTCAAATGCAGGGCGTTACTAATTTTCCCCATTATTTATTTTTCCCCCATTTATTGGCTGTATTAACAAGAATAAATGCTAACATTGGAGTATGTATTATTTTATTGAGATTGTTACTTTCAACTTTCCAATTTTTAAAGTATATTTGGCACCAAAAGATTTCGTGAGGACTACTAGATTAATCATTTAAATCTATTACATGGGAGAAGATTTACACTGTAATCCTTATTGCTTATCCTGTGTATTTGGAACTCTTCTGTGTACAATGTGAAATAGTTCCTGTAAGAATTCTAGTAATCATAATTAACATTTGAAGGACATCAGGTTGAGGAATGATTGTAGACTGCAATTTTAACCACAACAGCACAGATACTGTTATAGTTTTCCATAGGGTTGAATTATAATAGATTTTTGAACAGTTATTTCACATGTATTGGAAACCTATGGATCTTTTAAAGAAATAATTGATGCTCTGTACTCATTGTTGGAGATGTGCTGCTCAAAATGCAAAATTGGTTCAACATAATGTCCAAATTCTCTAACTAAAAAGTAGTCTTTTTTGACTAAAGCTTTTTACCTAGTGCCATCGTGGACAGATGTATGTAGGTTGGTTTTTTTTTTTTTTGAGAGAGAGAGAGAGAGAGAAAAGTGGTTTCCACTACTTTTTCTGGAATACTTTTTTCATATTGCAAGTTTAATCTATATTCTTGGTACTTCTTGGTAGTCTGCCATCAAAGTCACCAGCTCTGGCCCTGCTACTTTTTTTTCAAGATCAAACAAGGCTGGTCAGCTGCTGATCAGAAGTTTTTTATTATTATTATTAACTTGATTCTGAAATATTCTTGTTTTCATGCTTAGCTTTAAAATTATATATGAATGGTTGAAAACTAGGAGGGGTAGAATGGAAATATACATCACATATTTTTACAGTTGCAAAAAGTGCATACTGCAACATTGGAAGGAAACTCAATCTCTACCAATTACACAATAGTCAGAAAAGGTCACTTTTCTAAATCTCAGCAGCAAGTATTTTACTACTAAGAGTCCATCCGGAGGACTACTTAGAAAATTGGACTATGTATATTTCCTTTCCCCCATTTTTAAGTTCACTTAAATGTTAATGATTTTATTTTATAACATTATGTGAATATATATGTAAGATGAACTTAGTTTAATAAATAAGAGCTATATGATTTGTAACCTTGATTTTTTTTTCTTTTACATAGAATAAACAGGAGATTAAAAGCTACCCATTTCCTGATTCCCTGGATATTTCAAAGAAATTCAGAGATTGAGTGAAATGGAACCTAATCTCATCTGTGGTGTTATGAAATGTACAATCATCTTGCAAAGAAAAGTTATCTGCAGTGCTTCCTTCCTCTCAATTATCCTTTAAATGAGGGCTCCATATGAGGTTTTGCTTTGTTGTCCTATTACCAGCACTTTGTAAGAGAGAAATGCCATGTTACAATGATTATATGCAAGTGCTTGTAGATTTGTCATGTTATATCAAATTATTGGTAGGAATCGGTATAATACAACAGTATTAGAGGTTTGTCCATTGACAATAAAACTTTACAACTTAATATTGTTTAGGTTCTCAGAGACGGAGACTCATTCCAGCTTTGTCGCTTGACACTACATCTCCTATAAGGAAGCCTACCAGTCCAGCCATACGCTGGGTAGATGGACCTCTGCGAAGTGCCCAGAGAGGGATGGGAGAGCCCTTTGAAATCAAAGTCTATGAAATTGATGATGTGGAACGGCTCCAGCGACGGCGCATGGGGGATAACAATGTGAGGCTATGCTAATATTTTTTTAACAAGCACAGATATTGGTTTTAGATTATATTTATATTTATTTGTAGATGCTTTCAGTTAAATTTGCAAAACACTGTTTAAATATATCCAACGAAGTACTGTAGGCATGATCCTAAATTCAAATAGAACCCACAATATTCAATAAAAACAATTCCTAAAAGAGATTTGAGAATTCTCCTAAGAACAATAACGTTTTCTGCAGTTCGGCGGTTCGAATCCCTACCACAGATCTCCTGCGTGAACGGGGGTTGGATTAGATGACCTCCAGGGTCCCTTCCAACTCTGTTACTGTTACTGTTCGGCCGTACGTGAAGCTTTCTGGAAGCGGTGTGGATATTTATTTATATGTACGTAACCTTTGCAGTCAAATCCAGTCAGAAAATACCAAAGATCCCTCTTACAAGAAACATTTTTAAAAAAATAAATCGTGGTATGCTGCAAGAAATAATGACTTTTGACTTTGCGTCAATAACTATACAGGTAGCAATTTATGATCACGATTGGAACTGGAACTTCTGTCACTTAAGTGATGTGATTGTTATATTTATGACTTTTTAGTAATTCAGTGAATCCAGCTTCCCCCCCTTGATTTTAATTGTTGGAAAGGTCACAAATGGCAGTCACAAAACTCCAGGACACTGCAACCATTTTAAATACATGCCGGTTGCCAAGAGCCCAAATTTTAATCATGCGACCATGGGGATGCTGTAGTGAGAACCAGTCATAAGTTACTTTTTTCAGGGCCATCATAACTTATAGTCACCTATACTCACACTTTCATTTGATCCACAAGCCCATGCTCACTTCTATAAACACAAAGAAACAGTGTCCACAGACTCAGATTTACATTCATCAGAATAAGAGTCCACGGAGTTGCTCAATGAAAGTCTTGCTAAGGAAGAATGCATTGTGTCTGTGATGAAGGAAACCTTGATTCAAAAGCTTTCAGTATATACCATCCCTTTTAGACTATATATGTCTCTGAAGAATGCCAACTAAGTAATGCAAATTGAAGGATAAGGGTTTTGTTTTCCAATTCTTAAAACCAAAGATGGAAATGCACCTATCTTCTTCTTCTTCTTGTGACATGTCCGTCATTGGACGTTGGCGATCATGTTGGCAATCCTATTTTTGTCAACAGCCATATGAAAAAGTGCTGCTGAGTTTTGTCCAAACCATCCCTTAGGTTTTGAAGCCATGATGTTCTTCTTCTGCCTGGGCCTCGTTTGCCTTCAATTTTTCCCTGAAGGATTAAGTGAAGGATACTGTATTTTTCTGGGTGTCGCATCACATGTCCAAAATACTCTTAACTTTTGCTTTTTAATGGCTTTGATTATTATTATGCCTCTGAAGAATGCCAACTAAGTAATGTAAATTGAAGGATAAGGGTTTTGTTTTCTAATTCTTAAAACCAAAGATGGCAATGCACATTTCAGAATCTATAGTGGATGGTATGGTGACACATCCTTAGTCCTGATCACTTGTCAAAGATAATGAATGGAAGGCTGTTATTTATGGTGAGTAGTCCGGAAATACCATTTTTTGCTCTAGTGACTCACTCCTAGTTTCAGATCCATTCAGGTTAAAAGGAAATTAAGTATTTTCCCCTGTAATTTGCTCTTACAAATGCCCCCTCCCCAGGAACTATGGTAGTGAGAATAATACATTTCGTCTTGACTTCTGCTTTCACTCTTGGAATTGTAACCTTAATAATGAACCTTCTTCTTTGCAGAAATGTAATAAGCTGCTTTAGGATGTGAAATAAAAATGAGAATAAAATAAAATTTATTTAAAAAAAAAATCCATTTGGGAGGAAATTTAGATTTAATGTGGTATCATCTCCAATAACATTATTACTCACCATTCCTTTAAATATCCAAGGTTTATTTGTGTAACTGTTTCCCCATGATTTAACTTAATTGTGCTTCTGATTCCTACCAACTGAGAAATAATTGTACTGGAGAAATGTTTTTGTCTCATCTTTTCCCTTTCCTTTTTTTTTCTTTCTTCTCATATGTCTTACTGGGTAGGAGGTGATTTGCTACAACGCTAAGCTAAAAATCTTGGAGCATCGGCAGCAGCGAATTGCAGAGGTCAAGGCCAAGTACGAGTGGTTAATGAGAGAGCTGGAAGTGACCAAACAGTATCTGATGCTGGATCCCAATAAATGGCTCAGTGAATGTAAGGTTTTATGCCTCCTCGGTTAATTCATTGCCAAGACATTTTGCTGGAATTTCAGTTTAGCCACTACTCTTTTTAAAGCAAGTAAAATTTCAATCTTGAAATTATATTTGACCTCAAGCAGGTTTGGATTGTCTGTGATTCTATTACGGTTCCCACATAATTTCCATTAAACTGTGACATTGGAAGCAAGTGGGCGTATTTGTTCAAAAGCTGAATCAGAGAAGTGAGAAATATTGCCATCACCAGATTAACACATAGGCGTCTCAGTCCACAGATTCTGAAAATGAGGTTTCTTTTCCTCTTCTGCCCTCAGTTTACGCGGACATAGAAGTTATATAATAAGTCTGGTCTCCTGCTATTAAATAATATTATAAGGCAAATTTGACCATTGCTCAAAATGTGTTATTAATCAGAAAGGAATCTGATTTGTTATATATAGTCAGGAAAGAATAGAGATCATAGAGTTGGAAAGGCTACTTCAGCTATTGAGTTCAACCCCTTGCTTAGCTTAGGAAAGTGAATGTTAGCATTCTTGACAGATAGTATCTTACCTCTGCATGAAGGTAATTATAAAAGGGAAGTCTGAAACCTTTCCAAGTAATTGGTTCCACTCTAAACTGCTTTTATTTGTGAGGGTTTTTTTTTAAATTGTGTTGGAAGCTGCCTTCCAATAACTTAAATCTATTTATTTATATTCTACATTCTGGAATAAGTGTGCTATTATACTGAGCATTTTCAATCTTCATAGAACTTAGTTTCTAGTCCCCTTATCATCTTCATAGTCTTTTTCAGAAGTTTTTCCAAATCTTTCCTGAAGTGTAATAGCTAAAATTAGGCCTAGTTCTTCAAGTGGGGTGAATTGAAGCAAAATAAAGAGGAATGATTTAACAAATAAATATTTCTTTTCCTAAAATTTGAAAACTGTATATCCATTGATGAATCCTAAAATTGTTGTTGTTCAGTCGCTGTCATCTATGACTTACATCCCCATGGACCATAGAAAGCCAGGACCACAGAATGCCACTATCTCCCAAATTTATGTTCATTGAATTAGAATAGAATAGAGCTGGAAGGGATCTTGGAGGTCTTCTAGTCCAGCCCCATGTTCGAGCAGGAGAACCTATACCATTTCAGACAAGTGACTGTCTAGTCTTTTCTTAAAAACTTCCAGTGATAGAGAGTCCATGGTTTCTGAAGGCGAACTGTTACACTGGTTAATTGTCACTATTAGGAAGTTTCTCCTTAATTTCAGGTTGCTTCTCTCTTTGGTTAGTTTCCAACCATTGTTTCTTATCCTGCCCTCTGGTGCTTTGGAGAATAATTTGACCCCCTCTTTGTGGCAGTCCCTCATTGTGTCAATGACATTATCTAAATCAATCCTAAAATTGCATTTGGATTTTTTGGATCCAGAACTTACCATTAACTAATATTCAGTTGATAATCAGCTATTATTCCAAGATATTTTTCAAAAATATTACCAATGTGTTGTTGTTGTTGTTGGTGGTGGTGGTGGTGGTGGTGATGATGATGAATGAATGATGATGATGATGATGATGATGATGATGATGATGATTTTGGCACCACCCAACACCCAGGCTCTGAACACTTCACAATATAGCAAATAAAGCAAGGCAGCATAGCAAATATAACAACATAGCAAAGCAGGATAAAAATAAAAGAGCAAAATACAAATGAATGCACAAGATGGAAATGCAGACACTCATGAGAAAACCATATTTGGAATCCATCTAGAAGGCACTCCAGTCACTTTCCAGAACGCCAACAGGATGGGAGCTACCCTGATCTTGCAGAGACCATATTCCAAAGTTCCAGAAGGAGAAGGCATGTTTCCTGGGTCCCAAAATATGACACTGTTTAATAAAAAGCACTTGGAGCATGTCAATATTGTTGACCCACATTGACTAGGCAAAAGCAATAGGAAGTAGGCAGTCCTTCAAATAACCCATCCCTATGCCATATAGGACTTTATAGAAATAAAGGACTGTGAATCTTACCTAGAATTATACTGGCAACCAAATGTAGCTCAGTCCCTGCACTTTGGACCATTGAAAGCTTTCAAGTGATTTTCAAGTGTAGCTCCATGTGCAGCACATTACAGTAGTTGAGTTGTGAGATGACTAGGGCATGAATGACTGCGGTGGTGGCCTGCAAATATTTTAACAACCGGTTCTCTGCCCTAATGGCTGGCTGGATGGGCGTGGCCAACTCGATGTCACTTATGTCGAGGGGCGCTTCTCCTCATCTGCCTTCTCATGACTGTGGGGATGCTGCAACAGTTGTAAGTGTGAAAAACGGTCATAAGTCACTTTTTTCAGTGCCCTTGTAACTTTGAATGGTCACTAAATGAACTGTTGTAAATCAAGGATTACCTGTACAAAAATACAAAAAGCTTCTTTGCTTGCAAAAAGCTGCCCTAAATACCAGTCATTAAATTAGAAATGGGGAAATACACACTGAAGTTCAATAAGTCACAGCCATCATGGAAACCTAAACCATTCTGTCTGAATACCTTCCTTTTCCTCAGCAATACCTGCAACCCGGAGTTACAAATCAGGCAAGTTGCCACAGCACATTGAGGAATTAAAATAGTTAAAATACAAGGATAACTATTAGCAGCCAAGTTACTCTTGCTTATAAAGTGAAACCCTGTAGCAGAGAGGTCATTTAAGCGCTCCAGAAAGTGAGTGGGCATATTTGGGGTACAAAATGCCGAGCTAAAGAGACAGATTAACAAATTAACATATTGAGTGAGGGCTAATCCCATTCTGCCTTTGTTCAGACCCTTGCTGCCGGGAATTTTTGGCTACGAATATAGCTATCAATCTCTTTATCCTTTTAAGTGCTGACATCTTCTGTGAGCTATTAAGGAAGGTGGGGGCTGCTCTCTCCCTCTAAGAAAACATGTTTCTCCTTTTGTCATTCAGGGAAATATATTATTCTTTTTTAATATTTTCAAAATATTTCATTTTTCTACAAGTGGGGTGGGTGCTAACTTTCTACAATTGGTGCCATGTTACTATGCCATATTATCATGAGAGAAAACAAACAAATTGGAAGGAGGATCCACTTACTATTAGTGAGCAATCATATGCCTTTCCCACTCCGAAACAATGCAAGAGACTCCTGTCCCAAAGGTGCTTTTTCAAGAGGCAACTGGACTTTCTAAAAACCAAGAAATTCCAGTTGCCTCTTGAAAAAAGGACCTTTGGGACAACCATGACCTGGATGACTGAAGAATCCCCATAGACAAGAGACTCCTGTGCTCAGTGAACTGACAAAGCAGAGTTTCCCACCCAAGAGAAGCAATTATTAGATCCATTTGCACCACTTAAAGATACCAGTTAGTCTCACTCACCTCACAAGATATCCTTACGTAATCATCCAATGCCAAGTTTGCATCCTGCCTCTCAGCCATTTCTTCCATGGCTATGACAACCTTTCTGTAAATAGGTGTTCCATGCGTGTTGGAAGTATACTCCAAAAAGCTTTAAACAACCCTTTAACAATCTTTAAGAAAGTCAAGCCCCAGGAATAAAAGTACCACAAAAAACTCCAGAGGGGGGAGACTCCGGAGAAGGTCAGTTTACAGACAGAAAGTCTGGGTGTAAGGCTTACAATGTAACAAGCTTAACCCAGAGGCAGTTTCTGAAAACACTTAAAGCAGCAGAGCATTTAAGATAAGGATTAGACTAGAAATACAGGCATACCAGAATGTTTCCTTCCTGCCTCCCTTGCAGGATTAGCTCTGTAAAGTGGGAAAAAATTTCTTCTAACAACCGGTTCTCCGAACTGCTCAGAAAATTAACATCTCGTTTGGGAGAACCGGTGCGAATCAGTAGTAGCCCAGCTCTGAGTGACTGTCTGCAGTCATCCAACCAGCACTTACTTATTTTTAATATATTTAATTTTATCCCACCTGTATTATTATTTTATGAGTAACCCAAGACAGCGAGCATACCTAATACTTCCTCCTCTATTTTCTCCACACTAACAATCCTGTGAGGCTGAGAAAGAGTGACCGGCCTAAAATGACCAAGCCATCTTTCATGCCAAAAAAAATAAATCTCACACAGTGTTCTGGTTTCTAGTCTGGTTGATCTTTTGTTTCCTAAATGAAGAACTTTGCATTTGGCTCTATTAAATTACATTTGATTACCCTGAGCCAAGATCATTTTTAATTTTATTTCTGTCTTTTAAGATTATTAGCAAATCGATCTAATTTTATGTCATCCACAAATTAGATAGCTTTCCATTTGCCTCTTCATCCATTAATACAATTGTTGACAAGTAGGGACCTCAGAACTAAACTTTGTGGTACCTCATTTAATTTCTTCACTCTTGTTTAATAATCATTCATGAACAATGAGCAATCTAGCTATTTTGTGAACAATAGAAAGCAGTGCTGTGTCTGCTGCCTTATGCTTCTAGGTAAACTGTAGTCTACAGACTTAATATATAAATACAATACAGATCAATATAAAACATGAATATAATAACTATTGTTTTGAATGTATTGCTTCTTTGAATCTTATACACATTTTGCCTTTGGCTACAAATGTTACTTTCTATTTTTTAATCTTCCACAACTTTTCTACCCCACAAACTGAGGATAACGGTTTTGATAGCCTTCTTCAGCCTGTTTTCTTCCACATGTATTCAATTTCAAGTGCCATCTAGAGGAAACCAGGTTAGAGATGAGTGACTGAAAACATCTGGTGATAGGAATGCTAATGCATGAAACCTCATTCTAAGTAAACAACCTAAAAAGGCCATAATTTTTTGTTTTTTTTAAATGGAATGATTTTATTTTACTAGGCAGAGCTGTTTACAACCCAGCCAGAGAAAATTAGAAATACAAGTGGATAATTCAATGGCTTGCAAAGTTGCCTTATGCAAATAGTAACATGAATTTTGGTATTTTTTGTATACCTTTTTAATAGTAGCACTGAATAGATTCTTGTACTCATGAATGTTGAGTACATTCATTGAATGTTGAATGATGCAGATCCATATATGAATATAAAACATTCAAATTGCAAGATAGAGCTTGCATTTTCCTCTCTGACAGTCATTGGGTTAGTTTTGTTTCTCCACCAGTTTTTATTTCCTTTCTTACAGTTGATCTGGAACATGTTTTTGACTTGGATTCCCTGGAGTACTTGGAGGCTCTTGAATGTGTGACTGAGCGGTTAGAGAATCGTGTCAATTATTGCAAGGCCCACCTCATGATGATCACCTGCTTTGACATCTCTTCCAGACGTCGATGAAGAATTAACCTCAAGAATCTTTTGGACTACTGCCAGACACCCCTTTCCTTCTTTTTGAATTTATATCCCAAAGACCCAGAATGAGGATGAAGGTTGGTGCCATGTTTTGACTATGTGAGAGAAGATGCGATTTTTTTTAATGATGCTAAATATATGTTGGAAAACAAAGACGCTGAAATTAAGGATGTGGATTCTTCAAGCCTGAAAGAGCACTTTGAGAAATCTTGAGGACATGTTTGTACATAGAAACCTCTGCAGAAGTGATTTACCCCCAGCCCCCAGCCCATCAATAACTGAAGAGGGAGGAAGAAGCAGGTGTAAGGGAGTTGCTGAGAGCCCCAGTATAGTAAAAATACATGGGGAAACTGTCTGAAGTGCCTTGCAAATCTTTATTATCCAAACATTTATGTTCATACTTCTTGTACAGATGGTGCTAGTCGACAAAAAGAAAAAGACAAAAAAATCAAATCACATTTTTTGAAATGTATTTACAGCCTGTTATTTTCACTTGGTGTTTTATTCTATTTCTGACTTGCTGTTTCTACGTAACTTGTGTTTGTAGAGATATTTCTTATCTGATACAGCATATAAATAAATGTTAACTGTCTTTTGTTGTTCAAGAGCAGAGTAAGACCACTCAAAGGAAAAAAAAAGAAGAAGTTAAAACTTCTGGATTAATCCCACAGATGTATGATGTAATAGAGGTTTCCCAGCTCTTAGTAAAAACAAAAATGATAAAACAAAAATACAACATGATAAGATTTCAGTTGGCACTAAGAAAATAGGGTATCACATGATTTTGTAATATGTTCTCCTTTGGAAATAAATACATTGTTATGCGTATTCAGTCAACACTCCTATTTTGTTACGATTTAACTGAATATACTAACTCCGTGATGTGAACCTATGGCACGATTGCCAGAGGTGGCACGCAGAGCCCTCTCTGTGGGGACACGCGCCATCACCAACTGCTCTTCTGGTTTCCGGCGTGCACATGTGCACCAGCCAGGTGGTCTTCGTGTGTGCCAGAGCAACAGAAAACAGCCTGAAAATGGCCCAAAAAACAGGCCATTTTTCGGACCATTTTCTGGGCCATTTTTGGTCTGAAAAACGGCTGAAAAACAGTCACAAAGAACGGCCAAAACCAGCCAAGAAACAGGCATGTGCGCACCGGCCAGCTGGTCTTCAGGTTTCCAGTGCTCCGGCACCCATGACCAGCTGGCCGATGCGCATGCCAAAAACCCGAAGATCAGCTGGTCTTTGAGTTTCCGGCATGTGGGCATGCATAGGTGTTCCGGTTTGTGCACTCAGTGCTGAAAAGTTTCGCCATCACTGTACTAACTTTTCCGAGCATTACAATCATAGAGTCATCAGAGTTGGATTGGAAGGGCCTTGGGAGGGTCAGGTAGTCAAAGTATTTCCTCAAGTTCAAGTTGAGATAACTTGTGACTCCACTCATGTTTATGAGCACAAAAACTTAAGTGGTAAATCTGTTTTGCCAGTTCAGAAACCTTTGTAGGCTTACAAGTATTATCATCTCCTAATGTTTTTCCCCAACTCTACAGATACCTAATTTGTTCTCAATTAGGGATGGTCCCAATAACACAACAATTTTGCTGAAAAGGAAAGAAAAGGAGGAAAAACCTTGTAAAGTTGTTGCTCAAAGGAATTTTTATAATTCTAGATTTTGTCTAACCAGATAAAAATACTGAAAACTGCAAGCATTCATAACCTTTCCATAGAAAGGCTAAAACTATTTGCATTAGAATTAAAATGACTGATTCTGTGCTACCAGTCTCCTATCTGTGTGCTGATCTTTGCTTACCCATACAACAGAAATGATAAATTGGTTAATGTTATTTATCCAGCTGAGTCAGAATACAAAAGCTATTCAAAAGGGCATTGTGAAAAGTAAAATAGAGAATGAAAGTTGATAGAGTTATCTAGTTAAATCACAAACCTCTTGTTTTAATTTGTTTCATTGTTATCTCCAAGTCAATTAATTTGCTTTGGGATTCTTTCTTTTCTACATTGTTTTTATTAAGGTTAAAGACCATCTGACTGATAGAAAGTGTTAGAAAACACTTCATTTTATGCATCTTCATATGTGCTATGTGCATAAATAGAATAAAATATGTACAAAAAAGGTTAATTACAAATGAATTAAAAGTCAAGTACTTAGAATAAAAGAATAAAAAGTACTTGGTCAACAATGTAGGTTATGTAGTATATATAAATTGCCACAGTACAATAGTGTTTTTGCCTTGGTATCCTGCTTGTAGGCTTACTTGATACCTCCAATTGGGCAGTAGGAGAAATAGCAGGCTAGACACGGTAGAGCTTTGATCTCATTTGATAGGGTTCTACTTATGTTTAGAAGCATAAAATCGGCACACACCAAGACTTCAATCCATAGTCCTTAGAAAAAAAATATGAATATTTTCGTGGCAGCAAAAGGGTTAGGGTTAAAAAAAAGAGTCCTTACCCTGATCTCTTTCTCTCTTTTTTCTAAATCTGGGAGATTCTACTATTTAAAATAAAGGAAATCAGTATTCCAGGAATTGTTTACCCAACTCCTTCTAGCAGGCTAGATTACCCATTTATTTACGAATATGAATATAAAAGATTGCTTCTGACATGTGAAGTCCTATTTGGATCAGAACAGTTCACCTCATGGTTAAGTTTCACTATACTTTTCATAGGGCTAAAATGAAAATATAGACACCTCATCACCGTTACTACCACTATAACGAGAACTCAGATTTTTTTTCTTCCTTTTTTAAAACAAATTAATGCTAGGAATAAAATGAAACTTCTGGCAGTATTAAATGACGAGATCACAATTTACTGTCTTCTGCTGTATTAAAAGTTAATCAGATTCATGTTGCCTATGGAACAGATTGATCCGCTCATACACAAACTGTGTATGTATGCAGTTGCCTAAATTAAAAGGAAAAATGATTTAGATTTGTGAAGACCAATCCTATACTCAAAATAACTAGAGCCTTGGCAGAGAAAACTGAGCAGTGGAATCCTAACCAATTTTACTCAGAATTACCGTCCAATATATTTAACAAGGCTTTCAAGTAAGCTTAGCATAGAGAGTTGTAGCCATTGTTGAATAAATTGGTTTTTAGTGATATTATGAATACCCACATGATATATTATAGATAATTTTTACTGGTCTTTACTAAGATTACCAAATTTAATTAAGGCTCAAAATTAAAAATATTACAGGAAAAAGAAAATTGCTGTTTAAGAGGGCACATGCTTTAATTTGTACATGCCTTTGGCTTTATTCCTAATGTCCTGCATGGCGATCTCTCTGTGGAGCAGAATGGTTCTCAGAGAAGTTGGAAGTCGAGAGTAAAGATTATTAAATGCAGAAAGATGAAAATACTTTGAAAAACCCTCAATGGAGGTATAATTGGCAAAGAGGACAGAATTTGAAGAGGTGGGAAAAATGACTTGTTTGATAAGAGAAAATACAAATTGTTCTTAGTGACTGGAATCCCTTTATGGACTTTCTGCTGAAAACTGAAAAAAAATGAACGTTTGATTTATGGGTTTGATTATTGGAAATGGTAGAATATGAAAAAAAGAGAGCCACAATGTAACCTCAGAGAGAGAAAGAGTGGATAAAATAGAAATGCATTTATAACTACTATAAAGATTGGAAGCTACCCCTGTACAGGTAATCCTTGATTTACAGCCATAATTGAGCCCAGAATTTATGTTGCAAAGTGAAAAATTTGTTAAGTGAGTTTTGCCTCATTTTATGAATTTTCTTGCTGCATTTGTTAAGTGAATCCGGCTTCTCCGTTGACTTTGCTTGTCAGGAGGTCGCAAAAGATGGTCACATGACCCCAGGAATCTGTGCAAACGTCATAAATATGAAACAGTTGTCAAGCATCCGAATGTAAATCACATGACCATGGGGATGCTGCAACAGTCCTAAGTGTGAAAAATGGTCATAAGTCACTTTTTTTCAGTGCCGTTATAACTTCAAACGGTCACTAAACGAACGGTTGTAAATCGAGGATTACCTGTATATCTTTTTCTTTCTTTCTTCTGCCTTGCTTTTTTGTCTTCTTTCATTACTTTCCTATTTACGTATCCATTTTCTTTACTTTCTTTTTGTCTTTTAAATGGGTATTGTTTTACAAAAGAAAACCGCCTTTTAATAAATTAATCCCAAAAAAAAAGAGAGGAGTCGGAAGAAGAGCTGCAAGTCCAGTAGGTAAATTAATAACAGCTGCATGCAATGTCATTTTCACGGCATTATTTGCATATATACCTCCTTCCAGCTCTGCCCAATGAACAAATTTCCATAAGTAGTGCTTTAATTGTTTGAGCATCGCATGCACTGATTAATCTGAAATATTATTGTCCTACTTGATCACAAAATCTTTTTATAAAATGCTAAAATCTTCTAACAACCTACTGGGAATAGCAAAGAGCTGCATAGAATGTCTTCAAGAGACCACCCCCAGAGAAACAGTTGATTTTTATCATTTGCTCTGGACTTCACTGTCTGCATTGTTCGTTTTAACTTTTATTTATGGGGGAATAACAACAACATTGTTTCCATGACATATCATAATAATGTATTTGAGTAGATGCCTATAAGATTTAAATAAATCTCAGTATGATTAACAAGGTTAACTATTAAATTAATAAATATAAGATCATCCTTTTGGAGGACTTGTTATAAAAAGGAAGATACATTGATGGATGTGACTTTTCTAGTCATTGCTGTCTACTTGTATTTCTATTGACTACTACTTCTATTGTTCACTTTTCTACTCAAAACTTCTCATACAAGATTTCAGTTATCCATATTCTCCTGATGTAGAAGAAGAACATGTTAGTTCCTGGTAAAAGTGTGATAAACATCTAGCTAAATTTGTTCCCCATCTAGGCTTAGAGTTTGAATAGCTCCTTCATTGGCTATCAATTACAATTTAGGGAAACAATGGAAAAAGCATATATAGTGTCTATGCTCATGTTTTCAGATAATTGAATTATTTTTCTTTGAAATCTGCTCTCTTGCCTTTTCTTTTGCATTTTTTCCCAAGTTTCTTTAAAGTTCCAGAAAAATAAATAAGAGCAGATGGGTTGTTAGTACAACATGAAACAAAACAGTTGCAAGGCTACTCGACATTTAGAGTAGTTAAGTTTGGTCATCACTTAGTGTGGAAGTTAATCGATGATACATTCACACCGTCTCTGTGAGTGTGGTTTAATGAATTAGGAACTACAAAAGTGATTTGACTATACATCCATATGTATACTACAGTACGAATCTTACAACTAAACTAAACTAACATAAGAGATGTACAATTTGGGTGCTTTTAAAAAAAAACTATAACTCTTCATCTCTTCAATCTATTTTCGGGCTGTGATGCTGGGAGAGACAGAACTTAATTCTGCCAAATCTGAATTGTTCCCCCTATGATCTATTTTCTCCTGGAGGCAAAATTCAGCTGCTCCTAAGTGGCAGTTTGATGAGGAAGAGTGAAAATACTGATCCACATGAGGCTCAGAAACAACAGTATACATTAGTATACTTTTTCTTACTTGATGTGCATTCTAGCCAGTTTTTCAATTTTCCTGAATTGTATTTCCAAGCTGTATCATGGGAAAACAGATATGATACGGTACGAGAGAGATTGGGGGGGGGGGGGAGAGAGAGAGAGCTTAAGAAACTTAACAAAGCTCATCACAAACCCATCAATAAAATCTTTTATCTGAATAAACTAGTTATTTATGCTGCATTTTATAGAAACTATATTTAAAAACATGTTTATGCTTCAGATTATAAAGTCAAGCTAGTATATTTGTTTCATGTTATCTTTCAAAAGAGATGGCATCCATAAATTGATGAGAAAATAATTTGAATATTGCTAAGTTAACATTCATTCCAGGCCTCCAGTTTTAATGGATGGCCATGTATATAAAAACTTTTGGGATCGAAACAAAACACGAATCAGGGGTTTTTATAATACATCTTCTTATCTCCTGCCCCACTATTAGCCTATGTGAGGATAAGACTATAACATCACAGATGTCCTGCCATTAATATGTGAAAGCACATTGCTTTCATTGTGTGTATCATTTCTGATGGAACATGGATATATAACTGGCATCTAAAATGGCATCTGTTGCCTTTATTATTGTCCTAGCCAAAATGTAAACCATTAGTCAAATAGACGAGATAGCAATTCATTACCACACATAAAGTTTCAACTTATGTTATCTGTTTACTTCACATGGCATTCTATAATCCCCAAAAATTCTGACTGGTTTTTGGCTCATACAAGGATTTCTGAATATTAATTGGTACATCATACTGAGTAACTAAATTCCATGTTCAACATCTGCTTAACATTTATGAAATTCCTATTCTGTGTGTGTCTTTTTTTTCCTTTTCTTTTTATCAGATAATCATACACTCAATGGTTTGAGCGATCATTCTAAATTAGTTTCAGATTTTTTTTCCATCGCAAAGCAGTTGTCTCAAACCACAAGTAAGCAACTGCTGTAGGTTTCTCAAAGGATGTTGCTATCCAGAATCGATATTATTGGGAAATAGTAATTCATTTGCATATATTATACACCATCTGTTGGAAATTATATTCAAATTTAGTTTTCAGTTTGATCAAAGTCCGATATAGTGCAAAAAAATTGTTGAGTTAGACTCTAAAAGCAATGATGGATCAGAGCAAGGATCTATGAAGTCTACTGTTATGATGACACCACAAGAACAAGAACGAAATATCCATTAATAGGGGTGATAATGTAGATGCATGAAAACTAACCAATTTATCCAGCCATCCAAGTTCACCAGCACTAAATTCCAAAATTGAAGGACACATGCGAAGTAATAATTCCTTAGTCCTGAAGGGTTTTTTTTTAAAAAAATACAATATTTTCAGATGGAAATGCTAAGTGATACTCATTTAAATTTAACCTTTCAAGTTTCCTTAAGGGAAGATAAATGTAATCTATAAAACTTTGAGTGGTCCTACTCATAGAGCATTTATTATAAAACGATGGTAATAAAAATGGTGCTTAAAAGCAGTTTCAGCAATATCTATATTACATATACTCTCTATATGGACTTAGTTACCTTATATATTGTATAATATATGTGTGAATGGATATATGAATAAAACAATTACCTGGAGATTTTGCGCATATATAGATACTACTTTTTCTACATTTTAATTAATCCCCAATTTTCCCTGCTGAAACTGCTACCTGACATCTATCATCTATTTGACGTTATGAAGGACATAATTTATTTGTAAACTCAGGATGTTCTTGCTTTATAGACTTGCTTGTATTTTATAATTTATTTACCCATCATGATTGGAAATGCTTATCTAAGTACTATGCATTAATGTGTACTTTTGCTGAGTCCATTGCGTTCTGTCTGTGGCAATGTTCTTTTTCATAGTGAGTGATACAATAAAGTCACGTAAGGTTGGAAAGTGTCTTTTGCCTTGGGCAAAATGCTTCTACTGAATCAGTCATGAAAAGCTCCACTACAAGACAGACACACAATTCAGTATTGTCCTAAAACAGCTCAGCTTTATTGGACCAGAAAGAAACACTGCAAGCAGTAGGACAAGAGTGGAAAAGAAACAGAAAAAGACACCACCTGCAAGCATATTGATGGAATATGTCAAGCCTTTTACCATTAAAATGTAAAGTTTACAGTTTGCTGACTTACAAAGGCTCTTACCTTTTGTGGTATATGAGGTGTGAAATATGCTGTCATGTTTAAAAGATATAAATGTATAGTGGCATTAAATGTTTACTTTTATATTACCCAATCTAATTTCCACCAAGTCTTGGCTTCAGTGGAAAAATGCCATTTTTTCCCCTAATTTCTGGAGTAAAATTTTGTCAGCACCAACTACAATGTTGTTTTGTTGAGAAAATAGGCATGTGAGAAAGCACTAACTTCACCAATATGATTTTGCCAGAAGATAGTCTAATTTAAATGACTTTCTGGGTCAATAAGATTAAATCACTGGATATTTAAAGGGCTTAAGATTTACTAGAACAGTTTGACTAGAACTAGTACAGTTTGCTTGCTGATATCAATGGGAGTGCTCTAATAAAGTGATAGTCATATCTTTACAATTTACCTTCTCATCTGCCAAGCTCATTGGCACAACCAATGTTTAATAAATGTTGATTGTGATGCTTAACCAGAAAGCCGATACAGCATATTTATTATTTCTCTCTCTGAACTGTAGATATCGAGTGTCCATTTTCTGTAGCTTGTTCTTAAAATGAATAATTGTCTGAATTCATAACTGACTTTAGTGGAATTATAGACACGAGCTATTGGTATGTATCAGTTCCTTTCATTCCTTACAAAGCATACACCATTGATTGATGAAACATTCTTGGTTTAATTTCAGAGGGGCAAAGGTCAACCATTACCTTTCCCCAACAATCTCTGAAGATACTGTTTTCCAAAATCTGTACAATTGCAGGAAGGTCAAGCAATGTGTAGAAAGTAGAGTAAAAGGAACATAGAAAAGCAAAATGTGAACATGTCAAGAACAAATAAAACAACTACCAATGAATAGCAGCTAAGCAGTCAGCTCTTAACCACCCCAGAGTCTGGAATGTAATCAATTCTTCTGAAAATATTGCCAGATTTAAGGCCAGGGGGGAGATATCTCTAATATGGAAGTTGTTGACAGGAAGACTGCGTCTTGCTTTAACCAAGTAGGGTCAGGTGAAACCAAGATCTCAAACAATGTAGCCTCAACTACAGGGTTGTCAAACTCCCGGTCTGCAGGCTGGATGTGTCATGCTGGCCGCGCCCCTGCCCGGTTTAGTGAAGGGGAAAGTCCCACTATGTCATGTGACACCGCCATGACAATGTGAGTTTGACACCCCCTGCTCAAGTAGGTCTTTTAAGTACTAAAAATACTGCTTTTGTAGCTGAAATCTTCAACAAACTTAAAATTCAGACCTAAACCAAGACCACAATAATAAACATATAGACTGGAGATGATCCAGGTAAGTATCACAATAGCTGGATCATAGAAATGAACTTTTCTAGAGTATGATTTTTGAGTTAATAAAAGGCCCTGTTAGCTGCAGCTATTATTTGAGATACAGGCCAACTCCTAAACTGCACCCTCAGTAGAGCAACAAATGCAGCTAAATCCAGAACAAAATCATTGTCCACAGATGGCTGGTCTCCCTCCAAGTAGAGCTTTTGTAGTTTATTACTACAAGCTGTTCATTACTGAATCAAGGTGATATTTAAATAGACCTAACTAGGTTTCCCCCAGACTTAGTGGGAATACAACTCATTGTTTTTCTGATAATGGAAAAGGCAATGCAAAGTTCCTGCCTTAAGTAAAGAAAAAAGTATCAGAAATCTGCAAGGAAATTATGACACGTTAATCTTTTGACAGCTTGCCCAGTGATTGTGCATTATGCTGTATTATGATTTAGAACGCTTTATGAAATAGGCCACAGACTTATGATTACCTCAGCACAGTTTTCATGGCATCAACTGCCACTAAAGAGATTCAATCCCCACCCAGATGAAAAACACAATAATAGGTGATGGAATCAGTTCAATGATTGCCAGCATCAGGCAATTTAATAGGCAACCAGTCCTTAGCTTTCTTGGTTTGCCTCTTTCAGTGGGAGAGGGAATAAGACTGGAGCAAAATTAAGCTGGATAAGGATCTAGGCAAAAACGATAAAAGATCTTTTATCCTGCAATAAAACAGATTAAATACTTTGCCTTAATTAGGCCATTTTATTTTCTATTCATTGCTAATCCAAAGAAATCTTCAGAATTTTCTTCATTGTATTTCTTTAATCCACTCCAAAATGGATAAGGTATTAAACAATCCATTTCATTACCCACTAACTTCCTTTTTAAATGCTGTTCATTTTATTCTAATATGCTCAGCACCTTCACCGCAGCTTGCGAGAGATTGCATCTGAGAGTAAAATGTTTAATCTCTCTTCTATCAGAACCTAATACTGAAATTCCTGGAGCTGCTCTTATTACTACAATAATCTAGTTATTTCCATGAGAGAAATAAAAATACAGATATGCATTTAAGGAAATACATACAGTATATTTTGATTACCATGGACACTAAAAAGAATTTGAAATACTAAAGGATCAAGGTGATGAATGAAAATAAAATAAAAATAATATAAAGTCATAATAAAGTAAAATAAAATAAAAATTTGGTGGTAACAGTGGTAGTCACTTTACTTCAATTTTCCCCTATCACAGGTCTCCTAGCATCCTGGATAGTAGTAAGGTGAATTGCAGGCCAACACGCCTATCAAAGGCCTCCAGAGTTGTAGTACAGCTGCTACCTCTCATCATCCAAAATAACATATTTTGTAAATTACACTCCCAGCAAAAGAGCATGGAGAATTAGCACAGTGTTGGCTGTTTTTGTCATGTTTTCAAGGTTAAACACAAGCATTTCAAACAGAGAATGCCAGAGTGAAGGATCCTGCCTTGTGTTAAATTATTATTTACTTCTGAAAGGTAGGGCTGAATTTGGTCGCAGGTTTGTCATTCAAAGGCTAAACAGCTTTAAAAATTCTCAGGGATGTTGTTTAAATAATATTTGAAAATAAGGATCATGGTGAGAGTTATCAGAAGGCACCTTACCCTTGTAATCCTTTGTGCCCGTTTGTTTTTTATGATTTTGGTTTATAAACTTTAAACAAAGAGCCCGTAAAACTCAGTTGCTAATCCCAGTCTTTCAAACCAGCAGTACGATTATCTTGCAGGAAAATATAAGATAGCAAAAATGGGATGGATATGATTTAAAGCTCGGTTTAAGAAACATAATTGGTCAAAAATGAAATTAAAATCCTGTCCTATGTAGCAAGACTAATTTATATGGGCTAAATTATCTTTTTAAGAAATTAATGTCCTTCAAACTGAAGTGTTCATGTAATTTCTTTCACTCCTTGGAGGACTCTTAAATCTGAATCCAAAAAGGATTCAGAAAGCAGATACTTTACTAGTTCATTTCCATTTCTGCTGGTGTAAAACAGCATCTATATACCTCTACTTTTGTCATTTGTTGCTTTTGCCAGACCAGACTGCATATGAGGAAGACTACGGCAAGAGGCGCTGAAAAAACATTATCTCTGTCTTCCTGACACTGTTTTGCCATAGACAAAGTTTAGAAAAATCCATCATGTTTCTTATCTCAGATCTTTATTTCAGTTTCTCCACTTTTTAGGAGTACTTCTTCAATTGAGGCACTGCTGATCTTTTTTTAATGTTCATTTTAATATTTTTGATTTTTTTTCAGTCCAAACTGCCATTTCCTCCCGTTCTATTTTCCTGATATTTTAGACTTTAGTCCACCAAATCCTGAAACCAAAGTGCAGCACAAACTCTAAAGCAGAAAAATAAGACAGGCAATATTTATTTCCAGAAACTAAAAAAAGAAAGAAAAGAAAAGTGGCTTTGGGCAGGTCAAAAGTCAAGATGTCAGTCACAACTGATTAAATGAAGCCCACCCCACTGCATATGAATAAAGGTTTAGGGTTTTATTGCTCAGTGATAGCAGTCATCTTGACTTTAATACATACACACATACCAGACAGCCATAACAGGGTGAAAATGGTGACATGCCATCACCAAATTCAAAATAATTGCTCACAATATTTTCCTGAACAGTGTCCCGCCATACACCAATATACACAGCACTTTGGGTTTTCAATATATCTTATCTATATTTATGTCAATTGTGATATTTTAAAAATGCAGTAACCATAATTACAAACAGTAGCAAATGAGTTATTGCTATTGGAGCTTAAAGAGAAAAGAATCTTGCGATGGAAGCTTGATCCCCTTCTAACAGCTCAATTCATCAGGAATAAAGTCACCACCCTCAAACTGCTTAACATGTATTGTTAGGCCAAGAAAAGGTGTGGTAGCATCTCTGATAGTTTTCTTGTATGTCAGAAGCCCAAAATGAGTGTTTCTTCTGCTTTTATCAGTTGCTATTTGTAGAGGTTAGTACACTTGCATTCTGCTTTTAAAAGGAATGGGAACAATCAGTCAGTCATGGTACAATCAATTTAGGTAGGAAATACTATAGAGGCATTAGGAGGATTTCTCTCCCACCTGGGTAATCTGCGCAGATTGGTTATTGTTATTTTCCGAGAGACTCAAACATTGAAATAAGGCGACATTTTATCAGGGCCCAGCATTACAAATACAATGACCATTTATTATATGCATATTAAAAAAAAGTCTATTGGAACTCCATCATGGAAAAAGCAGATTGTCCCAGTGTTGTTAAGACAAACCTGAAAGTGTCCTGTTGAGGACTTAAGAGTGTAGGATGAACTCTAGGAATAGGTGTCTTGATTTATGCACCATAGCTCCAATTTCTGGGTTGCTCAAGAGATCACTATCATAGAACTCCTGAGCTTCCTTTACCCTTTCTTATGGCTGCTA